GAGCATATCACTTTCCATATTTAAATATTGATATTAATAATAAAAAATTCTTAAATTGTGAATATTGAAATACAGACTACAATGAAAATACTGATTATTTGTTTCCTTTTTTTCTTTTCTGTATTCGTATTGTTTACACTAGAAATTTATACATGTATAATCGAGTTTTACATTTCCTTAATCTTATAAAAAGTTCTGAATATTTATCCAACTTTTTTCATAAAACACTATAGAAAACGATTTATAGAAAAACTTTTCCTTATCTGGGAGCATTATCATTTTAATAGCTGTACAGCACAATATATACTAAATGATATAAGTTTGCTTTCTTTTAATTTCTTTCATGATCCTGGGGAGAGACCTCAGGGCACTGCACTGCAGCCAAGTGTTCTATCACTGAGCTACAGCCTCCAAACTCTACCAAGTCATTTTGAATCTTCATATATATATATGTATATATATATATTTGTGTGTATTTCTTTTAAAAACGTTTTCTTATTATTATCATTTTATGTGTACAAGTGTATTTGCCTGCATTTACGTAAATTCACCCATGTCATTCAGTGCCTGCAGATGTCAGAAGAGAGCACTGGATCTCTTGGAACTGGATTTACAGATGGTTGTTACCTGCCATGTGGGTGCTGGGTATCAAACCGAGGTCCTCTGCAAAAGCAGTCAGTACTCATAACTACTGAGTCATCATTATGAATTTTCTTACATGAATCTATAAATATGAATCTATAAACATGAATCTATAAATATCCCACCTTATTTCATATTTTCCTCACAAATATATTTGTTCATTCAATTTAGCAGTTTATTTTTATCAATTTTCTAAACAGAAGCCATCAGTATTGAATTATGTTTGGTGTTGGGTGTCTCCAATGATTTCCAAGAAGTTTCACATCTGCATCATTTCACCATGTCATTTGTGGCAAAAGCATTACCAGATTATTATGTGCCTCTTAATTTTAAGTCATTTTTTTGCTAAAGGCATGTGCCACCACACCAGGCCTATTGCATGTATGTTTTAATTCTTTCCAAAACTTAAATCCATTCTTTCCTAAGAATTCTGCTTGAGAAAAAAAGTAGAAAATGATACTAAATGGCATTTCCTGATATTGATGAAACCTATGCTCAAATACGTCAAAGACTTTAACTCATAACTACAAAATAGTGAAGTTCCTTGCACAGAACATTTAGAAACGCTCCCCTATCTACACTCCCTTTACCATACTTACCCAATTTCATGTGTTCTAATGTATATATGTATACTCTAATATATACTAATATGTAACCTATCATTTATCATATATGCATACATTAATATACATACTAATGTATATTACATATTACACACAGACACACACAGACACACACACACACACACACACACACACACACACACACACACAGTAATTTTCCCCTTCCCAGCAGCTATCAGCTTCCAAAAGTCCCTCAGGAAGTATCAGATATTGAAGTGTTTCACTCACTTTCCCAGGTCAATGCTGGAATTTTTGTCTGTCGTGAGCTTACATGATACTTGTCACCAATGCTGTGATTTCATAAGAGAAAATTCACAGCTGTCTGAAAAAAATATCAGAAGAACGTTTTCATGTTGCTTTTCTTTTCTTGATTTTGGTTAACTGAGTCTCATTCTCTGTAACTGGAGCACACCATACAGCATCATCTGGCCTTGAACGCAAAGCAATTCTCCTGCCTCCACCTCTTAATTTCAGTGATTGTAATCATAGCTACTGCACATGTGGGTGGGCTATGAGAGGGGCTCTAAATTTGATTGAAATGTACTATATGAAAAATTAAAACTATACTATAAAAATATTCAAAATAAAGCCAAGTATGTTGCTCATAGTGTGAAAGTGCTTGCTGTAATCATTAGGCCTGAGTTCAATACCTGAGATCTACATAATAGAAGGAAGGAGTCAACTATTGCAAATTGTTCTCTGACTTCTGTATTTTGCCATGGCACGTTTTGCCCCACATACAACACATACACACACATACACACACACAGTACATGAAATAAAGAAAATGAAACAATGTGTAAATATAAAGTATTCAATTGAACAATTCTGTTTCTATCTACTCTGAATGAAAATTTGGAACGTTTGGACAAAGAGATAGAAGTCAGCAATAAAAACTTTGGGTAACGAGTTCAATTCCCACAACCCACATGGAGGCTATGAACTGTCCTTAACTCCAGTCCAGTTCCAGGGGAATCCGACGCCCTCTTTTGACCTCCGCAGCATTGCACAACATGGGTGCACTCACATACATGCAGGCAATACACACATGCACATAAAATAAAAATAATAAAATATTTTTTAAAATTTTGGGGTAAATTTATACAAGGATATAATGATTTGCAAGACAAACAGGGTAGAAAAAGCTATGACATCGGGGGGAAAAGCAAAGCATTTAATTTTGTTTTTATTTCTTATAGCTTTCAATATTTTTAAATTTTTTTCCAAATTTAGTATCGATAATTTTTAAAGTGATGATCATATGAAAATCATTAAATATACATTAGATGGTGCACTGAAATACTCATATATATCAGTATAAGCATGACACATTGTATGAAAACCAGTATTGATTTCCATGTAAGGCATAGGAATTCAATTTTATTTTGTAGGATATGTTAACACATATGGACATTATTTATAAAAAAGACAAAACTGTACTAGCAAACTATCATAGCCACTGTTTTAGAACATTTGACTGACTAATTTACCCATCTTGACCTTCTAGTTCTTTTAAGGACTATGTGAGCATTTATGTTTTGGAAAATACATTAATAAAACCCAGTCTAAATATTCCACCATAATCATATTTGTTTTCACACAGAACAAAATGAAATAATTCTACCTATAATGTATAAAAATTATAATATTAACAGAAATGTCAAAGTAAACAGACTTTAGATATTTCTAGGTAAATTATCATAAATAGCAAAATTTTGTTCACACCCATAACTACATGAGGTAAATTGATTAGATAGTCATCCTCAAAATTCTATTCAGCATGTTTCTATATTGAGGATTGCTAAGTACATCAGTGTGAATTAGAGACACAGAAAATTTGGATATAAATTATTTGCATTTATGTTATTGTATGGCTAAGAGACTTGCCGTAAGCTACTTTGTTTCTGTGCCGATGAGTCTATAAACAGAGACACTAATTTATTCATTATTTCATTCACAATAATCAAAATAAAGTTATGAAAAGTGAGCATTAACCTATATTTTTCACAATCATTCCAAATCTAATGATTCTTTACTTTGGGCTCTTCAATGATAGATTAGACATCAAAGCCATCATTTTAGAACACTCCTTAGAGGAGAAATGATATTATCATTGCAAATAAACAAGAACTATACAATTATTACCATATTTATATATCTATAGACCTTGGTGGATGCTCTTATTCAGAAGGTATGGATTTCCCACTTTCTTTTCAAACTAAGTTAGTCATTAATTACAACTCTATATGAATTAAGACAATAAGGCTTTAAACAGAATGCTTCTATAGTAAGTAAAGAATACTTAGGATTTCTCCACAAAGAACATATCTTCTAATTTCAATATTGCAGTTTGGTTTTTAAAAAACTTGTTGAGAAGGTGGAAATTTCAAGCAGAAATTAGCAAAAGAGGCCACTGTGGGAATACGCTATTTAATAAGTCATAAATTTGACATAGATTTACACCAGGAAGCTGGTTTGTCATCACATACACTAATAACAAAACTTATCTTCCTAAATTAAAATTTTCTGAGAAAATGTGTACTTAATCACCTGTTTCATAGCATTTATAACATCCTTGTTCCTTAGGCTGTAGATCAATGGGTTCAAAAGTGGGCTCAAAAAAGTATAAAAAACTGCAATTACTTTGGACTGCTCTACAGATTTCTCTGATGGAGGCTTTAAGTACATGCAGAAAAGGGTTCCATAAAATATGGTGACTGTAGTCAGGTGGGAACCACAAGTAGAAAAGGCTTTTTGCCTGCCTTCAGCAGAACAGATCCTCAAAATGGCTGCAAAAATGAAGAGATAGGACAGAAGAATGATGAAGAGAGAACTTGAGAGAGTGAAGCCAGCCACCACAAACATGGCCATCTTTTTGACGTATGTGTCAGAGCAGGCCAGCATGATAAGAGGAGGATCTGCACAGTAGAAATGGTTGATTTCATGGGAGCCACAGAAGGACAAGTGAAACGTGAGCAGAGTTTGAGAAAGCCCATTAATAAAACCAAACACATAGGGGAATGCAACCAGAGAGATGCAAACGTTCATGGACATCCTGGTGCTGTAATGCAGAGGGCTGCAAATGGCCACATAGCGGTCCAGGGCCATAGAAGCAAGGATGTATAAGTCAGTAATCACCAGGGCAATGAAGAGGAGACACTGAGTAAAGCACCCAGCATAGGAGATGGTCTTCTGTTCTGAGATGAAACCATGCAGCATGTTTGGAGTGACATTGGAAGAATAGCAAATGTCTACAAAGGAGAGGTGGCCTAGGAAGAAGTACATGGGGGTCTGGAGGTGGGGATTGGTTCTGATCAGCACAATCATGCACAGATTTCCTGCCAGAGTGATTAGGTAGATGGCCAGAAACAACACAAATAGGATCTTCCCCAGCCCTGGGTTGTCCGTGAGTCCTATGAGAATGAAATCCATGCCAGCAGTGTGGTTTAGGGAGGACATTTTCTTTTGCCTTAAAGCTGAACGTGACCTGAGGTGTGACTTGTGCCTTCTCAGCCTGTCTTTTCATTCATCCTAATTTCTTCATTTCTATTTAGTCATCTGCAGAACAATTACTTTTCTCATCAACCTCAGTCTTCTCATTTCCTGTCTCTGTTTCTTCTCAACTGTATCTCAGTCACACAGAAAGGCAAGCAGATGAAAGCAATCAAGTTCTATCTTCCTCTTTTTCCTTCTCACAATTGCTTGCATGATTTGTGTTACAAATGCTTTTGCATTTACTTTCACCTACATTTTAGCATTGTCCATGTTTATTAATTTTCCAATTTTTTTGAACAAAAGAACTTGACAATTTTTAAAAAATTTCATTCATTGCACTTAGTCATTTCTATCAAACAAATGAACCATGAATGGATATGTGTTTCCAGAGCCTTTGAAGCTACAATATCCTATTTAGGAGACAAAATAAAATACAAACATCCAGCACAGAGTTCTAACTAATTTCTGACTTATACTTGTCATTCAGAGAACAAGGAATTTCTGAAGTTTGTCTTTTAATAAATAACAGTAAAGTTTAAGAATCAAGAATTATTCTCAACAGATCATGGTGCCACATGTCTGCCTTCCCAGCAGTCCTGTGGTGAAGACAGGAGGACTGTCACCTTCAAGCCTGTGGCTAACTGGGTTATATAGCAAACTCTATTTCAAAAGAAACAAAACAACATAAATCAAAAGCAACAGTCCAAAAGAAACAAATTTATCTGTCTGCCTTGGAAATTTATTCACTAATTTATTTATGGTCTTTGCAAACCTTCATTTTTCAAAATATCATACAGCATAAAGTTTTAGCTGTAATTAAATACTCTGCCTTCACCAAGCGCCCATTGCAGAATGAATGGAATAGATATCAAATTCATAGGGAGAGTTAAGCCATATATTGTTAGATGAAATTTATGATGGAAAAAGTGAAGTTTGAAGACTTTAAGATACAAGAGAATTCCTCCCTGAGATAAGTCCTCCCTGCGATTAGTCATCCCTGAGATAAGTGCATTTGAACAATTGAAAGTCATGCAGTGTGTCTAGGAATAACATAGTTCAATGAAATGTGAAAGTCTTGCAAAATGTTTTCAAGTCACTGGCCCATCCATAGGTTTACTTGTTTGGGAAAGCACAGGTGCTTAAATATGGACAGTGCCAGCTTGATTCATTCTTTGATATTTTTACCAATACATGATATAATAAAATTGCTCAGTAGTTCATCTTAAAACCACTATTTACTTGCTTTTCACACAAATTCAGAAGAACTTGCACATAACAATAGAGTTTTTTAAACTAAAAAATATTGGAATCTAAATAGAATGGTCAAGGCAAATTGAAATCATTTTCTCCCTCAGTGATAAGCAGTAATCTATACACAAACACACACATACTTAATTATCATATGCTTATTGCAACCTACCTCTAAATATTAACCTACTGCATATTGTACAAACAACAGAAGAATATTTATAATGTATTTGGTATAATCCCATGAGCTTCTAAAAATAATTTTAAAAAGTCAATTTAATTGTTCTTTGACTCTCAAGGGCATAACCTTAATTTGATGCTGTGAGGAGCTATAGTCACCTTTGAGGCTGAAAACCTCTCCATAACATGTGTAAACAGGAGAGAGATAGACATAGAGAAAGAGAGAGAGAGAGAGATTTAGTTTTAATGAAAAAGTAGTTATTAATTTTAAAAATACCAAATGAGGAAGTATAGGTAGATATTTTGTATATTTAGTATGCTGAAGGCAGAGAGCCCCGTGCCCCATCTGCATTCTCTCACATATGTTAAGGTTTATCTCATCAAGTTTGGGTCCACATGTCCCTAGGTGTGAGCTCATCTACTGGAGCCAGGTAAACCTATCTAGTGACACTTCCTTAAATAAGAGGATCTCTCCCTCACCCAGCATGAAACTGGTGGGGGCACTATCCAGGGTGTAGATAGGGGAGGGTGTCTAAATATGAGAAGATGTATTATATGAAATGCACAAAAGTCAATAAAAATAAAAATTAGAAAAAGTTTCCCATCTGAAGTTTTTTGTCTATATTTACACTGAGGAGAGTCGTCCCATGAGACTGAGAGATAAGAAGGTATGGTATGTGAGAGACTTGATGGCAGATCATTGAAAGAACAGAGAACTTATATACCTCACTTATTGGAGTAACAGACTTTCGTTAGCCTCTATGTAGATGCTGGAGCTCAAACCCAGGTCCTCTGCAAGTGCAGTCAGTGGTTTTAAGTGGTAAGCCATCTCTCCAGTCCTTTCACATATATAAATTTGATCTAAAAATAAATTTTGTTTTCCTCACAGTCAAACAAATAAATTATTCACTGGATATTTAATATAAAGGTGATAAGAAGAAAGGAAGGTAGTCTTTTATAAGTTGAATTTCTTCTCTGTTGAAAATGGAATAATTCTGTTCATCCAATGGGATTTAAATACAATATTACACAGAACATTTAAGTATGTAGAGCACAGGAAGTCATTAAAAAGTCAGTGGCATGAATTTTATGGAAGTAACCAACTATTTACTGATTGGATTTAAAGCCCATTACACAAGATAAAACTCCTGCTTGGTACCCTTAATAAGCCAAAAAACAATAGCTGACTAGCCATTAGCCCTTCGATAGACCCTTATACTATTATTCTGCTAAATGGGCATACTCATAACTTGATTCCTAAGTTCTTATCTTGATAGCCACAGATTAACACATAATTCAGTCCTTATCAGAGAAGCTTCTTTTTTGCAGAAGACGGCAATTAATACAGAGACCTACTACTGATTAACTTGTAGTGAATAGTTGACTATGGCGTGCTCAGCCCTAAATGGGACATCTATAATCATCATGGAAGAGGCAGCAGAAAGATTGTAGGAGCCCAAAGCAGTGGATAAACACAAAGCTCATACTGTTATGTGTAAAATTATGGAATCAGTAAAAAAAATTAAAAACTAGAAAGGAGGCTGGGCATGGTAGGACACACCTGAATACCAGCAACCAGGAGGCCAGCTTATTCTACATAGCAAGTTTCAGGCAAGTTTCAGGCAGGGGGGACCCTGCCTCAAAAAAAGAAAAAAAAAGAAAGACTGTGTTATGGATTTGATGAAAACACATTTATATGCATGAATGAAATTCTAAAACAGTAAAATAATTTTAAAAGATGAGAGACAACAGAAAACACCTCATTTTATAACAATCAACAAAAGTAAAAATGATAATCTCACTGAGGTATGTCAGGACAGGAAAATTTCAGGGTGTGGGGCATATCACAGAAAAGAGTCTGATAATTTGGGAATGGTATGAAGAAAGATCCAAGTTGTATGGCTAACAAAACTTGGACATTTAGATGTTGTACTGAAAGCTTTTCTTCAAAATAGCCATATACCTAAGATAATTGGCATATACAGAAGGCTGGTTCATGGTTTTAGAGTCCGTACTTGATTAGATACTTTACCTTGGGTCAGTAGTCAGGCAGATTATGGTGAAAGTAGTTTGTCGGTTGTAGTGCCAAATGGCTTACATCATTAGCTCTGAATCAAAGGGAAAGGCTAAGACAGAGCACCTACAGTTCCCTTCAAGGGAATATACATAACGAAACATGGACTTCACATTAGGCACACAGCTTCAAACGTTCCAACACCTCTCCCTACCACCACCCTCAGAACCAAGTCTTTAACACATGAAATTCTTAGAGATGTTTCAGATCCAAAATACATCACATTAAAGACATTGTGTATGAAAATTCAAGATTGCAAGTGTTCATGCACAGGCCATAGCTCTTTGTAGTCAAAAAGTAGCCAGCAAAGTAATTAAAAAGAAAATCTATTTGGAATGTTTATGTGAATAGATTGTCCATATAGAAATTAAGTAACATAGTTGAGGTTAGTGTTTAAAAAAATAAGAGTAATCTACAAGGTAGAAGTTACCGTAACAAAGCACACTGGAGAAGGGAAGCAATCTTTTTTAGTAGAATCCTTTTAAGTTTCCTCACCAAAATGATTATATAAATAATTAGAAATATCACAATCTAAACACAGCATATCTTTGATTGATGTCTGAATTGCAGAATAAATTTAGTTTGCAACATGGTAGATAATGTCAAATAAAAGAAACAAAAAATAAATTATAAAAAATACTAGGAATATCAGTTAGTTCATTTTCTGCCATAAGATTATACCTTGATGATCTGGGAGCATATGCATGATGCTATTCATTCTTTTTAAAGTAAAGAAGAAAATCTTGGCTAATTGGTAGAAATGAGAGAGATGAGAGGACCATGAAATGTGATCTGGATGAAATAAACCCGGTACGAGTGCTCTCTAAACATTAGTCATACATGGATCATGCAGAATGCTGAGGATTTTCCTCATGGTCTGTGGTGGATGAGGTAATTGAAAGAAATATGAGCAAGACATTTACCTAATTCCAAGTTTTCACAGAATCTACTTGAATATGACATCTTATCTGAGAAGTTTGTTTTCACATTGCCCCAGAAGTGATTCTCTCCTATAACCCTGAAATAAATAATACATACCTCATTTCACAAGTGTTTACTAAAATCAGCATGTAAAGAATAGACATACCACACTGAACTACATGGAACTCAATATACCTTCAACGTATTTCAAATAATTTAGAAAAGACCAAGAAATTCCCACATTTTTATTGTGGTTCACATACTATAGTAATATCTGGTAGGATGTGTTGTATTATACCTTGTGTTCTTGAGACCTATGTGAAATGATTGGGGTTATTATTGTTAATGAGTGTTCTCCTGAACTAGTCAAATGTACCTGCCATGGATAACCTTTTTATCGTAAATACTGGATTTTTTTACGACCCAAAATTCATAGTAAATTGTCATGAATGGCATTGACCCTTTTGAAAGACATTGTCTTGGCATGTTTGTTCTTTCTTCTACACAGCCCACATCCTTCACATTTGGTGAAGATTCATTAGCTGGATCCAGTAGACATCTTTTTGACATGCAAGAGGTACATTTTTGACATTAATAGGTACATTTGGTTTTAAAACATCTATTTTAATATGTAGAAACAGCATAAGAAATCAGATAACAATGAAAAAATGTATGCTCTCCTACATAAGGCAAGAGTGTACACATGGCTTTACAGCATGTGTTTCTGTAAGATCTTCTTCACAGCCTGCTTCACATCCTTATTTTTCAAACTGTAGATGAGCGGATTAAGCATGGGGATCACTACTGTATAAAACACAGAGACCACCTTGTCCTGCTCCATTGAGTAGCTGGAGGTAGGTCGCAAGTACATGAAGAGAATTGACCCAAAGAATAGGGTGACAGCCATGAGGTGGGAGGCACAGGTGGAGAAGGCTTTGTGTCGTCCCTCTACAGAAGGCATCTTCAGTATGGCGATGAGGATGCACAGGTAGGAAATAAGAACAATGAGGACACAGCTGATGACAGTGAAACTGGAGAAAACCATGATCATAATACCATTGATATGAGTGTCAGAGCAGGACAATTTGAGCAGAGGTGGAGTGTCACAGTAGAAATGGTTGATCTTGTTAGAGCCACAGAAGGACAGTCTGAAAGTCATCCCTGTGTGGATGGCTGCATTTCCAAAGCCTGCTAGGAAGGAAGTAGCCACCAACATGAAACAAATTCTCCCAGGCATGAGGACTGGGTACTGCAGCGGATTCCAAATGGCAGCATAACGATCATAGGCCATCATGGCCAGCAAGAAACATTCAGTTCCCAAGAAGGAGCCGAAGAAGAAGAACTGGGCAGCGCACCCATTAAAAGAAATGGCCTTATTGTCAGACACAAGGTTCACCAGCATCTTAGGAGTGACTGTAGAAGAGGAAGAGGCATCAACGAACGAGAGGCTGCTGAGGAAGAAGTACATCGGGGTGTGCAGACAGCGATCGATCCTGATCACTGCCATCATGCCCAGATTGCCCACCATGGTCATCATATAGATTGACAGAAACAGCGCAAAGAGCACACCTTGCCCACCATGGTCATCATATAGATTCACAGAAACAGCGCAAAGAGCACACCTTGCAGGTCTGGATTTTCTGAGAGGCCCAAGAGAACAAATTCTGTCACTTCTGTTTGATTTCTGCCTGGGATTCCTTTTAGAGATCTGATCATCTGTGCTGCAGTATGAGAGCTGTTGGAACACTGCAATTTTTCAGGTGAATGGTTGCTATAACTATAAATAAATACTGCAGACATATAAATTCTTACGAAGAGTGAAAAGTGAGGTACTTGGGAAAAAGTCTGTTCCGTCTGGTGTGATGTCAAGGTCTGTGTCTGAACACTATGTGTCCACTCCTGAAGACCTTGAAACAAGTGCTTCATTCTCCACTAATTTTGATCACATTTGGCATTTCTTATTGATTAATTACAACATGCTTTTAAAATTTAACAGCATTTGTTATAAATAACTTAGTTGCCATAACCTCTATGTATAATTTCTGGAGAGCATTAATTAAAAATAAATTTAGCAATAATAATAATCATGATTATAATCATAATAGTGAATTTCTGGACCGTAAGAGACTAGAGGTAGCATATAGAGATTTCTAGCAACCCCACTGAATGAAAAGAATACCTTAACTTTGGCCACTTTACAGTACAAAAATTAGTAACTAAAAACTCAGAATAAATGTCCAGACTGCTTCTTCCAAGTAAAATTTAGTCAGCAATGCCAATCAGTGCTTTTCCTTTTACATTTCAATTATATACTCATATATTATTAAACACTACAGGCAAATGTACTACATTAGTCTTAAATCTGTGACTCACGATGTCAAGCAAAATACTAAAACCTACATCACTCACAGAAAGAAATAGATACTTCATAAAATTAAAGCATATGGCCAACGTGGTCTAATGCTGTTGTTCACACTGAAGATAGGGATTCCACTGAGCCCATCTTGGGAGAGTAATAAGGAAGCAGTTTCTCCCTGTTACAGGTATTGGTATATATGTTTTGCTGCCTATTCATGCTCTACTCTGCCTATTGTATTATGTAAAGATTCTAAGCACTAGTAAGTCTTGTGTTTTCATTGAGTACCGTAACACTGTCCAGGAGGCACTTCACCAACAGTCATATATGAGCCTCACCACAAATCAGTATTGGAGAACTAGCAGGTGTGATTCAAAGAGTATGCATTATACTATCTTTATAAGCTGAATTCAGGCAAGTATAGGTTTACTCAGCTAATCAGTGGTACATCTAGAGACACTGGATAAGTCTTGTGATGCTGCAATGTTTACATTTCTTCAGCACCTCATTTTGTGTCTGTGGTTTTCTGACATAGATGAGTAGCCTGAGTCACCTTCCTTGGAGTCATATCAACCTATGAACTTCAGTAATATCTGCAGAAGTAAGGGAAAGAAAGAATGATTCTTTTTTCCCATTCTCAAATAAAGTTTCCCTGAAAGTAGAGGTCAAATGAAAATAGTAAAAATAATAAAAAGCCTCAGACAAGTTAAGTATACAAAGAAAGTAAATATAAGTAAAATAGCATATGCTAAATGTATCAGTTGTTGGATGATTGCACATTCTCCACCTGCTTGTTATATGTTCTGTGTGCTACTTTATTTAAATTCCTTTGGATAAAAAGATGTTTCTCCTTTTGCAGGAAAGAAGTGCAACTTGCAAATTATTAGTTGGCTCTGAATCACCAAGTTAGCCCAATGGAGTCTACATCTACCCTCAGTCAAAGTCAATCTCATTTTCTAAATGTTTGAGATCATTCAAAAACATCAATAACTGATGCGAATACTAGTATCAGCACCAGTAATGTGGTTTTCAGAGCTTCTCTAGGCTCCAGAACAGATTTAGCTCCACTGTCAGGTTAAATGTCATTCGACAAGCACATATAAAGTTGTTGAAAGTTTTTGGTTAGAATCCCCATTAGTAAATAACTTTTACTACCAAAACCCGGTTTGTATTACATATCATAGTGTGAGTTGTGTGCTTCCACCTCTAGCATTCAACATACGAGTTTTCTGTTTCCTGCAATATTTCCCTTCATGCTCTTGAAATTTCTCAGTCAAGCTTTGAGCCCAGAGACAACTTTCTAGTTTTAAATTTATAAGAGGTTTTAAAAATTGCAGTAAGAGTCCCTTAGATATTTCTTGTGACTAAAAACACTCTAAATCATGTGACTTACACTGTTTTTAGCTTCCTGATAACCTATAATGTTTTAGTAATGAAAATAAGTACATTTATATAACACATTTCTTAGTCACTCAGTGATGGTAGAACTCTTACAGAGAGTGACTGAGGAAATTGTTGGCTTTGTGAATTTTCTTCATGTCAGAAAGTCAAAGGAATACAATTTGCTATTGATTTTCCTTACCTTTTACAGCTCTTTGACACTGATTGATCTTCTTGCTTCTTCCTCTTTCATGCCTGAATTCCTAAACAACAGCAAAAATCAGGAGAAAGTCTTTATTCTTAGGGTAGGCACCTACTCTGATTTCCCTAGGTTAAGGAGAAATAATAGGATGGATACAAGAGAATATCCATTACACTTCTAAGAAAATATAAACTATTTACTCTATATTCATCACAGCTCAAATTTGTCTTTCACTTTTCCTTGAACACAGTACATCAGTTTATCATATTAGGATACAGTACCCTTCAAAAGGGAGAGGCTATCACTGTGGTACAGTAGCTGTACAGGGCACACTTATCACCAGTGTCTTAGGACATATAGAAACATCCTTACTTATTTTAAGAAGGACATTTTTGTGTTCTTTGGTCTCTGGGGATTATATCTCTCATGTGATCTACTTACCCCTCTGAAATTAAGAAAATCACAAGTCTCTTTCATACTTACTGTGTCACCCATGGGGATGCTCAAGACCAGTGGAGAATGATTTTGGGTTTTAGATTCCTAACCTGTGTTAGCCATCCTTTCTGTTTTCTCTGATAGTCGCTGCTTTGTGTGACTGGTAATAATGATGTCTAAGAATATCAGGTTAGATCTACCTCTAGTCACCTTACTGTGAAGAAGAATATAGGCTGTGTGGGTAAAAGTGAGGGAGAATCACTGGGGAGACAATGCCAGGGGTTTGAGAAAAACAATTACTGGGCTTGAACTCTAGTCTGTGAGTTACTGTGTACCTGTGGGTCTTTCACTGAATCCCTTTCTCCCTTAGGATTTTCATTTCCTTGTCTACATGATAGGGTGACAAGATAAAATACTGAATGTGATTTGCTACAAGGACATATAAATGACCCATATGTTAGATATTCCTCCCCATGAAACTGTCTCATACTCTACCAAGTATCAGTTTATGTTTTCCAGACGGAGATTTTAAGATCTTCACTAAAGATACCATTCAGACGACACAAGTTCTGAATCAAATCAATCAATATCAGATTATGATTACATCTTTAGTGTTACTCTGTCAATATGTGAATATCAGTTTCTCTTGGTATCATTTAGTTAATTCAGTTTGAACTATATGCTGAAGTATAAAAGACTCATGAGATATATGTTAATTTATAGAAATTCTCACAAGAAATATTTGCATTATTTGACATCAATCTTTTTTATAGTACTTTTATTGAGTCTTCATGAATTTGATATAATATTTTAAAATCAAATTTAGATTCCCTCCCCATTTATGCCCCTTACTTCCCCACCAGACCTCATGCACTCTGTCATATCTGGTCAACTATCTGTACCCAGACATCCCTCGACACAAGTTCATCCACAGCAGTCAGGTCAGCCCATCTAGAGATCTTAAAGAAGATTTACTCTTGCTCACCCAGCAATAATCAGTTGCCAACAGTTCGCAGGCTAGGGCAGGGGCTGTAGTCCAAGAACCATGCTCCATGCTGGGCCTTTGTCTGATTGAGTTGGCACGGGTCTTGTGTACGACACCACTATTGCCACAAGTTCATATCAGCAAGCTTCCAATGGCCTCAAAGCCTCTGTCTCCCTATGTTCACAAACTAACCCTGGTTATTACAATCTTTCTGAACCCCTCTTCCACAATGGTCACTGAGCAGAGGGTAGGTGAAGTGGAGTCCTATCCAGGGACACACACTCTGTAGTCTCTTATTCTCCAAAACTTGTGGCCAGCTGTGGCCTTCTGTGTGCATCGCATTCCGCTGTATAAGGAAGCTTTGCTGGTGAGAGTTGAGGGGTGCACTAGTGTTCTCTCCACCTCCTGTTCAACTATGTTCCATGAACCTTAGGTTTAGAGGTTCCACTGCAGATGTGTCTTAATCTACCACTTTTTTGTATTGAAGTGAAAGAAATACTGAGCATGTCAATACACAGCTTGAGATAAAACAGGCAGATGACTAAGATTTACTTACTACACATACAAATTAACCTTATCTAAATGTAGAATAATTGTTTTGTGGGAACAATATGGACCAAAGTAAATGGGATTAGGTGTGTAAAACTAAAGTACGGGTGAGGGTCTGGAGAAAGATCGGATCACACAAATGAATCATAAGTTACACAGGAGATTAAGGTTTCAGTAAATAAGTGGGAAAACTGAATGCGAACAACAAAAAAATTATGAGACAATGGACTGGATAGATCGCAGGATCTGCTCAGTTTCATGATATAAAGTAGCATTTGAGAGGCAGAAACTAATCTGGTAATACTTAGCTGCCTACTACCCGTAAGCCCATAGGACTCCTCCCAGGAAGTGTGATCTCCATGAAAAATTATGAGAAGAATATTGTAAATATTGAATTAATGTTATAGATCATGGACATTTGAGTTATAACAAAGGTTATAAAAAGCTGGGGATTGTAAACCCTATAATGAATTAACAAGAAAATATTACACAAATAATAGGAGAAATGAAGGCTAAAACATAACATATCTCCACTTTAGAGAAGGCAAAATTATCGTAAAACACTTCAAATCAAAATGAGATAATAACTTGTGCACAAAGTGAGATGCATGTTTAATTAACAAATGAAGAAAATAACTTACCTATAAATACTGGTTCAAAATATTTAGTAGAAAAAGATTTACAAGCTATTTATTTGATGTAGTCCCTTCAGTATTTCTGAAAATAATATAAATAATTTAAATACTCTTTTATATTACATTTTACTTGTGTGTGTGTGTGTGTGTGTGTGTGTGTGTGTGTGTGTGGAC